ATTATGTGGGCTGTTCGTCGTGTAGAATTGCCATGGCCATGGGAGGAGCGCAATGAGCTAGTTGTGAGAGAAGGTGATGTGAAGGAGTTTTTGAGTGTTTATGGTTATAATGATACGCAACAATGAGGAGATGGAAATTAACTTCTTGAAGGTATATGGTGCTTGAATTTTTAGTTTTTTCTTAACATTAGTTTGCATCTTTATTAATATTGGCATTGTTCTCTCTGATTTGTTTTACTCTTTGTTCAAATATGTTTAGCAAGGGTATATGATAGTGTGATTTGTGAAGGTATACAGTAGTTTAATTGGAAATGTTGTAGTTGAATGCAAAATGGTTAGATAGTTGTTGAGAATGCGGTTCAATTTAGTCTTCATTTTTCTAGTTAAGTAATGCAGCTGATTGCACTGCTCCTTGACAATTGACATTTCTGCTTGCCTGTTTCCTTCTTAGAATATATCGGTATATTCTATGTTTAAAACTTAACCATTGAAGAAGATGAAACAATTACCACATAAGATGTCATAGTGAAGATGAATAACCTCAGCCCTTTATGAATTATGTAATTTAACCTTGATAGATCCAATATATTTCCTGATTGTCAATTCATTTTATCAGCAGAGAAACATGCTAAGATTTTACAGCGATGTTTTGTACAGATGTATTGAATCCAATCATATTTTGTTAACTCTATTTAATTTGGTTTCCTTTCTACAGTACAATTGTAACCCTTTTGCTCTCTGAGTTCTCACTGAATTCTTGTTCTTTTCATAGGTGGCAAAGTCAGTGGTAGCTCTTTCAAAGGTAATTGTTTTCTCCGTAATGTATTTGTGCTATGATTGATTGATTGGCATATGGCCAAAGTTAGTTTTTCTGGCTTATCATGTATTAATTTTCATGTGAGGGTTTTTCTGTTAGCATGGATTTGTTTGATCTCCAATCATACGGTTGGAGGTGAGTTCCCTTTTGTTTTAATTTTGTCCATACAATCTGTTTCTTATTGATGTTAGTGTCAACCTGCTTGTTTTGCTGTCTCATTCCTGGGACTGCTTCAAACTGCCCATCGGTTACCTTGATCTTTCTGCATATGTTCATTATAAGTTGCATTTGGATATGAATATGTAGTTTTAGTTTCAATTTCAGTTTTTTTATTCTATGGCTTATTGATAACTTAAAAAGTTTTGATGTACTGAATTATGATTGCATCATGTTTTATTCAGAATATGTCTGCTTGTAGTATCTACTGCCATGCGATCTTGAACTATATTAATTCTTGTTATCAAGATGCATGGTGGTGGCATTGACAATCACTTGTGAATTCTGATCGCATTATTTCCTTTGTAATAGTGAGAACTACAGTTATGGTACGGGACAGAGTTAGCCCTTTTGATCTGGCTGTCTTGTCTGTATTTGTTCTGCAACTGCTTGAGCCATAAGCATTTCATTCTATGCAGAGTGCAGATGATTGATGAGCTGCTTGAAGTACCATTGTGGTTCAGTGATTGCAGAATCTTCATCTAGAACCCTACAAGGCACGAAAAAAGGCTTTACCTCTTCCAGTTTTCCTTTTTCTCTTTTGTTGAGCTTCCTTTGTTTATCAAGTCACTAAGTACTTCCTAAATTTATAATATTGGAATGGACAGTAAACTTGAATAGTTGGCCATTACCAAGAACAATTGAGGTGAGATTTGTTCACTTTGTCCATGGCTTAATGCATTATTTGAATGGAATGAAGAGGAGCTTGACCTCAACTTTGGCTGTGAATTATGATAGTATTAAGGTGTGGTAACGTTCTATGAAATGCCAATGCTGAAATTGGCCTTGTATCATATCAAGCTAAACCATTTTTCATGTGCTATAGCACGACCAAATCCATTTATATATTAGGTGTCTTAAAAATAGGGTCAGTATTCTCTCCTATAACATGAATTTAGAATCATCAAAAATCTATATATGTGTGTGTGAGTGATCCAAACCTCCATTTTTCTGATTACAAGTATGGTTGCAAGTTGTAAATATATATTATTTGGGTGCACTAGATTGTTTATATCACATCATGATCTGTTTTTATTTTGATCATGATCTGTTTTTATATCAAAATAGATGTGCTTATTTTTATTTATTTATTTATTTATTATTATTATTATTATTATTATTATTATTATTATTATTGGGTTTAAATTAAGAGAAAAAAATCCAAGCTTTCTACCTTTTCTCCCAGGCCTAAGCAGGCATGCAAGCGCTTTTGTTTTTTTTTTTTTTTAGAAAAACCATTTGATTTAAAATGTATTAACATGTAAATTATAAAATGGTTTTTCCATGTTCTTGAATGAGTTATTAAAAAACTATTTGCACTCTAAATATAGAAAGTATCTTTAAAATTTCATTCTTATGTTTTAATCATTACCCTTTTTTATCCTTTTGTTATAAAGAAATAGCGTTATAAAGAAATAGCTCGACGTGAAACCTTTTTGAAGAAAGAGGACATGAGTTTCAAATGCAAACTTACCTAGATGCTCATTGGCAAAATTCTAGAACTTTAACCTCTTTAATTATGTATTATTGTTATTAATTATACGAACTAGGAGAAAAAGACACGTATGTTGCCTTTGGTGACATTTCAATTTTTTTTCTTCTAAATACTTAGATGTCAAGTAATCAAATGGATCTCAGTTTGAATTCAATGATTTATATTATATACAAGGAAAAATATTAAATAATTTTATTTTCCATTTCAAGATGTGCATTTGTTTTGAATTTGATCATATAGGGTTTATCATAAGAGGATCTCAATACACCCTATGTAATCTGATCCTCTCTCTATTTCCACACTCCATTGAAAAAAAATATCATTATAAAGAATATTGTATCGGGAGAAAATTGATGCTATGGAAGGTTCCTTCTCATCGACCACATTTCTTTCTTAACAAAATATGTTGATTTGGCCTCAAGGGCCAAGGAGCTTGGTGATTTATGGTTGGCAGATGTAGGAGTTTGGAGGATCACGATGCAAGGGTTTTATAGAAAAATAAAAGGGCTTGGCAAGTTTGGTTGATATTTGAGTTTTGAGTGAATGGGTTGGCATATGAGCTTGTTGTCTTAGAGAAGAGGCATGGATTGTCTATCATTTAGAATTGCTGTAGATAAGTGTTAGGAAGTCTATCATTCAGCTGCGAGTTATCACTGGTATTTTTGTTTCTCTTGTAGTTAACAAAATCAGTGGTAGTTTCTTACGAGGTAATGCTTGGTTCCTTTCTATAGGTCGTGATAAGTTGATCCATGGGGAAATCACCAAAAGGTCTTTGGTTTCTTGTTTATCATGTTCTTTGATTTTCTTGTTCTGGTTAGTCTCTTTGCCGTGTTCTTATTGTCTCCAATCATGCTACTGTAGGAAAGTTCTGTTTCTTTTTTATTTTGTCCATTAATTCTGGTCCTTTCTATATTGGTATTAACTTGTTTGTGTTAGGGTTGATTTACTGTTCATATATAAGCATATTCTTATTATGGACTGCATTTATATCTAAAGATCGTATCAGTTTGAGTTTGAATGCTTTGGTTAGTTTTATTACCTATCAGTCTTGATAATGGATTATGATTACATAAGGCTTTTATTTGGAAAGCCTCTGTATGTATGGCTAATTTAGGATTGCTATAATTAATTATTCTTGTTATCATGAAGATGCATGGTTCTGCTGTTGAATATTGCATTTGCATGCATTTGGGTCTGGTTTTCTTGTTGGCAAGCTAGAGAAGGTGGGAGATGAGATTAATTATAATTTTTCTCAGTTTGAGAATTATGGTTGTGGTGTGGGCAATGCTGGTCTTCTTGTTCTTGTTGCGCTATCCTGTGCTTTGCTTGCTCTGCCACTCTTTGTAACAGATGATGCCCTTTCTCTGCAGAGCACAGGTGGTTGGTGAACTGTTTTATGTACCAATATGGTCGATGAACTGATGCAAAATTTTGGGGAGAGAAACTTGATGGCGGATTTCGCGAGGCACAGGAAAATGCTCAGTGTTTTTTTCTGATTATTTGTTCTTGAGCTTCCTTTGTTGATATTCATCAACTCCAGATTTTTCATGTGTTTTAGATGATTCCAATCTATATTATGTGGGCAAAAAATGAGTGATGAGAGTGAAACAAGAAAGATGTTTTCCACCTCTCAATTTCGAACACAGTTGAATACCACTCTTGCATGTGGTTTTGGTCTCCTGTTGTCAAGTAAGGGTAAAGGGTGATGAGGTGACAGCAACTGTAATTGTTTTCACTGTACAATTATGGCGATGGAGTTGTGGATGTTGATGGCATCAGTATACTTGTCAATTTAAGAAATATGGTTACAGCGCAGCGCAATTTCAGTCGTTCTGTTCTCAGCAGTTTCACCAATACGTGTTGCTCATACTTTGCCTCGTCTGTTCGGCCACCCTGTGGACGAGAAATACGTTTTGTTTCGCTGCAGAGTGCAAATGGCAGATGAAGAGCTCCATGTACCAACAAGGCTGAAGGGTTGATTGCATAATGTTTGATTATGAATTCAATGGTTCTTCAACACCGTAAAGAACAGAAGAGCTCTGTAGACCTTTTTCTGTTGAATAATCTTGTGTTTAGGTTTCTGTAACCCAAAGGGTTAGAAGCCTAGTGTCACGGGGTAATTTTTCACTATGCGAATAAACCCGTGCGGCAGCCTAGTCCCTCGCTAGACTCAGCCTTCCCTCGTCTATCCACTCGTGTTTGCCTATTAACTAAGTGTTTCCCTCACCCGAGAGGTTTCCCCACTTTCCCATGTTAAAGACAAGCGGAATACACAAGTAGAATTGCTCTTAACCAAGCACACTGAGAATACAAGAATACCTCTCAACCTTTATTTATTTCATCAACAAAGGATTACACGTGTGTTATGCACAGAATTCACATGCTACTCCAATAAGTTTACATACATTATTTCTTCTCTATGCATTCTATTCTCTATGTATTCTCCCTATACAACAAAGAATTACCATTACCATTTATAGCCAAGTATGTGAGCTGCAGGGCACCTCCATGATCCCCATATTTCAGGACATAATAGGCACTTACTCCCCCATGATCTCCATGATCATTTGTGGCTCACCCATATCCCTATTTCCAGAATATAGTGGAGAACTTCCTCCCCCATGTGCTTTATGATTTCAGCAACTTGGAAACACCCCAGTTATGCTCCCACCTTCTGCATGCTTGCCTGGCAGCTCCATTTGCCAGCTCTAGCTTCATCTGCTGCTAAATCACCCACATGCCTTGGACAGTCCTTCGTCCAAGTTTTTGATCTTGCCAAGTCAAGCCCCTGACTTGCGCAAGCTCTTGTGCGCTGCCAAGTACGCACCTTGGGTACAGTCGCCAAATCCTACGATGCCAAATCCGCATCTGCGTGCAGACCCCATGTCTGCGCTGCCGAATGCACATCTACATGCAGGCTGCCCAATCTTGCACTGCCCAATTCGCATCTGCGTGCAGACCCCAATTCCTGCGCTGCCGAATTCGCATCTGCGTGCAGGCCCCAATTCCTTCACTGCCGAATTCGCAACTACGTGCAGGCCCCAATGTCTGCACTGCCGCATTCGCATCTGCGTGCAAGCTAGCCAAATCTTGCGCTGCCGAATTCCCATCTGCGCGCAGGCTCCTAGTGTCTGCGCTGCTGAATTCCTTAACAGCCCCAATTCTCGTCCGCCCATATCCCAAACGAGTTTTCCTGTCTAGCTTGGACATTCCATCGCCAAGCCCATAGACCTCACCAATCTGTGCTGCCGCATTCCTCGACAGCCCCAGTTCTCGCCAGCCTATGCCCCTGACAAGTTTCCTTCTCTGGCTTGAACATTCCATCGCCAAGCCTATGTTTGTCAACATCTTGCGCTACCCCGCATTTCTCGACAACCCCAGTTCTTGCCAGCCTATGCCACTGACGAATCTTTCATTCTGGCTTGCACATTTAACACTGTAACAAACCACCCCCACCAAAAGAACCCGATGCCCTCGTCGGAAAGATTTGAAGTACCCTTTGCTCCGCATCTGTTCCTTGTCATCCTCCATGTATGTCCCCATGAAGTCTCTCTCTGGCTTCGTCCACATTCAACAACAATTCTATCCACCGAATTTCATCAACCTGTTTCAAAGCCAAACTGTGACACGTTCTATTTTTGGCTCGTTGGTTTTCCACAAATGTTAAACCCATTATACTTGCAAGCATGTTTTCGCAAAGTTTGGATGCTGCATCTAGCACCCAAGGAATCCGTCCCTTCCTTCACAAAATACAGCCATACAAAAACCCCCGCCAAAGAATCATAAGAACTCCCATATGAACCTATCATTCCTCAACTGTTTCATATTTGACCTGCAAGTAACCAAAATGAGACACTGCAATTGGCTCAAGTACCAACTCCATCCTTTGATCAACTCCATCTCATGTCGAAGTGTTTCGGCAAGGTCCTCAGTCCATCTGCAACCTACCATAGCACAAACATATAGCATCCCAGCATCAAAATTTGGTTTGACCTGGTTCCCCCATGCACTACTGTCATGCCCCCGAAACTTCATCACCCCCACAAGACTTCGCTAACGCAAAATAGCCCTTATTGTTTTCCACCTTCGCTGCATGTTTCGTCCACCGAAAACTCACAACACTGTATCTCAACAAAGGCCACTAGCGTTTTGCTTCTATCACTGCAACCATCCATTGTCGCAAAACATAGAATAGCCACCCGTACTGCCTCCAAGACAGCACTCAAAATCATCTTCGTCGACGATCTTGACTTCTCAGCCGAGCCCACTGAATCGGCTGTTGAATCTGTCACCTAGATAGTTCTTCATCAATGTGCAGACTCTTCAGACACACCTCCACGATACTGCCTCCTCGGTACTGCCTCCTCTATGATTTGAGACATACACCCACGGTACTGCCTCCTCTATGATGCTTCCCCTCCAAAGCAACACACCAAACTAAGTCCATCTAGTTCAGCTCTTCAACCAAATCCCTCAATGACTTGGTTGCCGAATTCTTCACCTCAATCTGTCCTCTTCGTCAAGGTGCCTCGAATTCCCGATACCACAAGTATTAAATTGCAATACTGCATACTTGTCCATTGTACAACAACCAACTCTTCCTGCCGAATTCATCTCAGCCTATGCCAGACTACCGCAATCCATCGCTGTTGAATTCTATGCAGTATGTTTTTCTTTGGCGCATCCTCACACCTAGAGTTAAACCATGATCTCTCCATCATCATAGGTATGAAACTCTCCCATCTTGGTCCCAACATGACTAGAGCCCATCTCTGCCATTGTTCTGTCTTCTTCACCCTGCATTGTCCATCATCAAGGTCTCCCTCGAAGACACCAATTCTACCTCCCCCAAGGCAGTAAAGTCACCAAAATCTTCGCAAATTTGTCTTGCCATTCGACCAAGTCTTCATCAACTTCATCATCGGATTTTGCTTCCCACACCCTAATCATTCCTTCGTCAAGATGATGCACAAAAATCCCCAAGTTCTGCCCCTACAAGGCAACAAGCAGGGCCAGACAGCATCCTCACCGATATGCTGGCCCATGACGACTGAATTCTATCTCGGTCATCAAGCAAACACATAAGATTTGCACATGTCACAACCCCAATACCATCTTCCACACTGACAGCATCAAGGTTTCCCTTTGTTGGGCAACCATCCCATACAAAGTAATTTTCCATTGCAAGAGAAAATTAGTGTAAATTCAGTTTTGAACCCTTACCAATTTGCCTTCTCGTCTGACCTTCCATCATCAACAGCAAGTTTGGGCTCTCTCCCACTGAATTGCCCTTTCTATTTCATCTCACCCTTCCCTTTTAGGTTTCGACAAAAACTTAGAAACTCCCAGCAATCCCATCGCTGGCACTTGTTCTTTAGTCTGCCATTCCATTGACATTTCAATGGCCGAATTAGCATCCACTTTGATCTGATCCCTTGTCATTACTTTGCGTTACCCATAAATTCATTAAGCCACCCAACTCCGCAAGTCTTTGAACATCAACCCTGCCCAAAACCCGCTCGCAAGTTTTCCTCAAAATGGCTTCAAGCAAATCTGCCCCACAAAACCCTTTAGCATCTGTGCTACGAAACAGTCCATCGTTTTGTCATGAACGCAAACTGTGCTCTATCCTCAAGTTTATGCTAGTCCATCAGCAGTAACAATGTTTCTCCCAAATCAGTCTCATCGATTTGTCTAGAGAATCAACAGCATTCTCATCGCTGATCATTGCACTGAAATCTGCCTCTCCGTCGACATAAGTTGTAGCCCTCCCAAATCAGTCCGTTGATTTGGCCGCAGAATCATTCTCACTGTTCTGCCAAGAAAGCAAC